CTTCCTCACAAAAAAACAAACAAAAAAAAAGAAAATGTGATGCTTCTCTCTTTGTTGTTCTTGCTTAGAACTGCGTGGCTATTTGGGATCTTTTGTGGTTCCATAAAGACTTTTAGAATTGTTTTTATTTTTTTTTAGTTTCTGTAAAGAATGCCATTGATATTTTGATAGAGATTGCATTGAATCTGTAGATCACTTTGGACATTTTAACAATACTAATTCTTTCAATCCATGAACACAGAATGTCTTTCCATTTATCTGTGTCTTCTTCAATTTCCTTCAACAATGTGTTATAATTTTCAGTGTACAAGTCTTTCACTTCTTTGGTTAAGTTTATTCCTAAGTATTTAATTCTTTTTGTTGCTATCATGAATGGGATTGTTTTCTTAACTTCCTTTTCAGATAGTTCATTGTTAGTGTATAGAAATACCACTGTTTTTCTTTGTTGATTTTGTATCACACCACTTGACAGAATTGATTAGTTCTAACTTTGGACTGATATTTTAGAGTAGGTTATTATGGTAAATCTTCTTTTTAGTTTTAAGTGGTTTCCTAGAGATAATGGAGGTTTTCATGTATATATATTCATGTATATATACATTATATATGTCTATGTATATATATATATTACGCATACATATTTCATATATATATACACCATCTTGTACTCATAATATCTAATATAAAGCAAAAGGAGTCCAAAAGTAATTTTAAAAATTTTACAGACTTCAAAGCCTGAATCAGACCAAACACGCTTTTCAAAAAATTTGAAATCTCCTTACAGTTGAAAATTCCAACTCCAATGCTGAGATGCTTGAGAGACCCCAGAACTCATTTCAATCCATTTCAATTTTTTTTCTTTTTTCCTTTCAATTAATACGATCCAATCACAGGCTAAATGTCAGGTTTGGTCTGAGGATACCCTTCCTAAGGAAAGAGGCAGGGTACCAGAAGAAGAAGGGAGTACCCTTGTGCTCACTGGAGCCTGCAGCATATGGTTCTCTTGACAACCAACCAACTCTCCTTCCAGTTAAAAATTTCATCAAAAGATTTTTTTTAAAACTATAAATAGAAGGCCTTTCTCTTTTAAATTTAAGAAATAAGTTTTTTGTTGTTTTTTTTTTTTTTTT